TACTGTATATGTTGTCAAGTCAGACTGAGTGTGGCTTTACCAACATAGTAAATTATGTATTAGACATCACATATTGATGTCTAATAGTGAAGGAGTATCTGAATATGTGTTTTCTTCTGAAAAATTAGTTTCCTGCATTAATCATGGGGTTTATTCCTTAGATGCTACTTAAAGGGCGGAGCCTCTAGCACAGTGTTTGAGGGTGTTCTTTTATGCCAATGCTCCCTCATGACATGTCTTGATATTCTGTGAATGCTACCTGAATCCAGAGAATGCCATGCTTGCTGTGACTGCCTTTTGTAAAATTACAATAGACACTATATAGTTTTCTTTTGTAACTTTAGTTTTATGATTACACTTGGATATTAAACATTGTATAGTGCGTACCAAACTCCTGCTAGCCAGTACTAAGCACAGATGTGGAATCATCTGTTAGAAATGATACACATCCCCTTAAGAAATACAGCTCTGTTAACCATATTTCTCTAATCTCTTACTCCAGTGAAGGTGACCAGATATATTGTTTCAGAAATCATGTTATTTCAGAAAGCTGATAATATCCTTGTTACTTAAAGATTCAGTGTGTAATATTTAGGAGGATCTATTGACAGAAATGCAATATAACATGCGTAACTATGTTTTCAGTCGTGTATTAAGACCTTATATAATGAACCGTTATATTTTTATTACCTTAGAAATGAGCCATTTCTATCTACATACACCGCAGTTCCTTTTACATGCTCGTCGCCTTGTTGCACCGCCATTTTTCTACTGTAGCCTAAATGGACAAGCAGCTTTTCAGAGCATGTTTCGTCACTACGTTGGAAGAAGAAAAGGAAGAAGAGGAAGAGTTAGAAGTAGTATTCTACTGGTTTACTTGAAGTAAGACAAGAAGAGAAATTTGGACAAATGGTGGCCCACACGTATTATTTAGCACAAGATCCGACAGCGTGTAGCTTTTCCCACGCACTTGGAAAGGTAGGGGTGAGCGGTGCATTCAAGTGGTGTTGGAATAATCAGTATATATATATATATATATAACATTTTTTCCTCCTCGAATCTTTATTGCAAAAAAAGAAAAAGTGTACACGGGACATAAATAATTATACAGAACTTTGATTCGTGCAAAATCATGTTTTGCAAATACATATTTTGCAAACATGTAATTTGCCATATGGTTACGGTTAGATTGCTGTCCGTGTAAAGTGAACTAGATGTCTGCGTGTTGTTTATATGCTCTGATAATGCTAATGCAACACATCTTTTTAGTAGTGTCCATGTTGATTCCACATTCCGACTTAAGAGCACATGAATACACACTGAAGTTGGAAGAACAACTTGGATGGGACCATCTGAGGAGTACGTGAGTGCACCTTGAGCAACTTGTTACAGTTTGCAACCCTTACCACTAGATGCAACTAAGACTAAAACACACTGAACCTTTAATTGCATGAAAAGCAAACTGCTTTAAATGGCGAACTGTGCATCTGCATCTTGTATATATTGCACAACAGCTGTTATCAGTTTTTTACACACTCGTTTGTCCATGTCAAGATCCAACCTTTGAGAGGCAAGCCCAGGTTGCCCAACTGTGGCTGTTGCAGAAATGGCCTGCAACAATTTCCCCCAATAGCTGGGGTTGTCCGTCACTGTGCTGCCTATTCACATACTTGTTCCAGTGGGTGGATTGTCCAGGGGTAGCTAAGATCAAACAAAATGTTATATTGCTCAATACAAGTCTTTCAGTTCAATACACATTAGAAACTAAGTAATTCACAATATGTTTTGTTCAAAATTTGTTGAACAGTACAGTGGTATGGTTGTTGAGCCGAGAGGGAGGATTATTTGGACACCTGAGGAAGGCTCTTGAAATGGGTTATTTCTTCCTCAAGGCCCTGAAGACACCGGGTAGTTGGGGGAGATTGTCCCCCTTGTGGCAGCACTCATGAGAACTTCATTGTCTTTATGCCTGAGGGCAGCCATGCCTGCCAGACCTATCAGCTGCCGACCTGTGGCCAGGGTCATGACACAGCCCACAGTGACATCCATGGTGAAATTGCTCATTTAAGGTGGATATAAAAAGCCAAAAAGTCAAAAATGGGAGGCCTAACCTTTTAAGAGACTCCTGCCATGACTTCTTCACCCACTCACTGAGTTCTTTAGGCACTGGGGTGATGAAAACTGGCTTGGAGGTGCCCTTTAGGAAAAAGTGAGGAGGGCCACAAAGGTGAAGTGTACTGCTGATGGTCTTTGATTTCAAAATGCAAAACTCTCACCAACCTTACTCACCTGACTCACCGACATGTCAGGATGGGAAGGACAAGAAGGCATTATCTGCAGTCCTGCCAAGAGGCATGGAGTTGTCTTCTGCTAAGGGAGGACACAGCAAGAATTATCTTTGAGGGGATAGAGGGTGGTCTTCCATAACTGCTGCCACACTACAGTATGGTATGCCTCACTGTGATTACACTAGAGCTTCATCCATAGTGAATGTGGGGTGCAATTACAGCACTGCTGTCTTCTTGTCATCTGATGACAAAGCCATGTGGTTCATACATTCTCGCGGGTTGATGATCCCAGTGACAGCAGGCTTGGCACTGAGGTGTCACTGATTAGCACACCTGGACAGGAGTAAAAAAAAAGTAGATGAGGATTAGCACTTACACAAACTCCAATGGGGTCGGATAGGCTCATTCTGATTGGCTGAGCACACAATAGCAGAGTGACTATTTTTAGGAATGGAGAGTACATCAGCCAATCTTCGTTTTCAACAAAAACTCCTCCTGGATCCAAAGCCATTCAAAGCATAATTTATGTATACAGGACTGTATTTATCAGAAATTTTGCTCTAACTTCAAGACATATCAATGTGATTTTACAGCAATGTGGCACTCTTCCCTTAAAGAATTTATGTTATAGCTTCCTTTCATCGTTTGTGATTTGTGCCCATCATATCTCGAAAATGAATGGCCACATTGACGTAAAACTTTATGTTCCAATTCACACTCCAGCGAGGAGGAAACCTAATCATTTTGGTGATCCTCTAACCTTCCTGCTAGTGCTACAATAAGGCCAAACTTTTAATGGTCACTACAAATCTTTATTTTTATTTTTTTTTGCTGACCTCATGACCTATACTGAAGCATCATCATTACAGAAAAGTTGCAACTTTAAAATGACTGTTATCTCATGGTTTGTTACTAAGAAATACCTATTTGCAATTTCATATCTTGGTAAACTTAGATATGATATAATGAATGTATTAAATTAAGTTCCAATTTTGTTGGAGGGCACTGGGTTGATGTGGAGCCATTGCGATGATGTTGTTGTCAGTGTGATGATTGACAAAATCAAGAAACAAAATAGTAAAAGTAAGTTCATTACAGAATGGTATAAACTATTCTACAGACATACATGGCTACAACTAAAGTGTGAAGTATTTTTATTGCTAGAATTATGGTTCACTACCTATCAAATTGAATGAATTAGGGAAAACTGTATTTAAAGTTTAAGAATGTTCAAATTTAGTGCAATTTGTCATTCAGTATTTCCTCTCTGCATAAACAGATTGAACTTTGACTTATTTAGATTTTCTTGAAGTACTTAGAGTCATGCTCATACAGTACAATGTATGAGTATAATGTACAATGTTTGTTTTTTTTGCCAAATCAGTAACTAAATACAGTGAAGGTCCTGTGCGCAATGAGATTATTTGCATATGAAGTGTTGACACAGGGATTTCAGATGCACAGTGTTATGCAGGGGGGAAAATCTGCTTTTGACTGCCAGTGTTGCAAGTCTGAGGTGTAATTTTCTCCTTTACATTTCAAGTTCAGCTGTGTGGGAGGCTAGTTATTCATGCGGATGTCACAAGAAAAGACCCCCCCCCCCCATCTTTGCATGTCTTTGCTGCCCTAATTCCTAGGCAAGTGCTGCAGTGGTCCTGTTCTGTTGGCAGTCTATGCCTTTATTATTTAACACCTACATAATGTATTCGTTAGAATCTGCTGTCAGTCCCTGTCCGTTCCACTTCATCCCATCACTCAGATCTTTTTTTTTTTTTAAGTAGGTGGGGGTTCTTAGCACCAAATACACAACTAGCTTGTATTCTGTTGTCATGCATCTTCCTCTGCCTCTTGTCTGTGTGTTTCTTCCTCTGCCGGGAATTCAATTATCCTGGCTGTTGTTTTATGATGTTGTCGTGACATCCAATGACGGATTCATTATCTCATCTCCTTGTGTGACAGCATAGTAGCAACAGGACTGTTGCTTCCTTCACTTCTGCAGTATACATCCAGCTTTACATCTGGACTGTGTAACTCTTTTTCCATCAATGATGCTGGCTAGTCCTTGCTGGCTTTCTCTTGCAATTAAGATGTTAAGGAAAATAAACAATCTTCTGGAGTAGTTTAACATTAAAGTACAATAGTTCTGGTGGTTAGGAGGGGCATAATAATTCAGAAATTTAGATAATGCTTTAATAAACATGAATGAATCAACAGTGTGTTTAAGAGAGATCTCCTTTTTTGTACTTATTTGTGTCAGATTTATGAATAGTTATTTGCTGTTTCTCTGCGTTTCCTGCATTGAGGTGAAGTTTACTTTCTTTTATGTGGAAATAATATATTAATATATCCTGATGAATTATTTTTGCATATATTTATTGAAAAAGCGATTAAAAAAAAAAAAAAAATTATTCATTAAAGGCCAGTTTCCTGGGTGACAGGGAAGTTTGCACACTGTAGTTGGTGAAATGTTGCAGGGGCTTTGTGGCTCTATTTTAATATGAAATGTACTAACCTCTGCTGGGGTTATAAAAAGGTTGCAGACTGTTGCTGACTCTGGTCTCTTTGATCTGTCTTTTTTTTTTTTTTTTTTTGTCTTCTTCAAAATTGCACAAAACTGGGACGAACCTCATATAGCATGGCACGATAGACTGTGCTAATTCACAGAGGCTGTGTCCCTTTCCCTTCATTATGTACATTCTCTCTGTGTTGCAGGGAATGAGTTTGGCCATCCTGAGTGGCTGGATTTCCCTAGAGAGGGGAACAATCAGAGTTACCACTATGCCCGGCGGCAGTTTAACCTAGTGGATATGGATCACCTCCGCTACAGTCAGCTCTACGCCTTTGACCGGGACATGAACCGTACCGAAGACAAGTACGGCTGGCTGGCTGCCCCACCTGTAAGGAAATCACACTCTCACTGTACAGAAAGCTTTGTGAAGACACTCTTACTGACAAAATCACATGAATTATTTTTTTCAAGATCAAATGTATTCTCAAGCCAGCACATTTACACACCTTTACAGTTTTTTAGTTCTCAGGTAGGTACAGATAAATGCACCATAAAGAGACATTTTTGAAATGTCCTTTTTCTCTGGCTGCTGTCAAGGTGAACAATAATAGATTTCACTCTCATGCTGCAGCTTTTCTCTTTGCCTGCATTTGAAGCCTATGGGGGGAAAATTATGTTTTTCTCTTGACGGGACTGGTAAAGTAATGGGATAATGCAAATGGAGTGTGGTTAAATTGACAGGAATTAGAATTGAGTCTGTGTAATTGATTCAAAAATATCCTCCCTCACATCCCCAGGAATCAGTTCTCAGATTAGAGCTACTCCACCTTGCTGCATTACACTTGTACCAGCATATTTCTCCTTGACATACAGACAAATGCAGCAGAGAAGGAAATGTATCAAAGAGCATAATTAGTGACATGTCTGGTTCACAAGGATACTTTCTGTATATTGCTCTTATCAATCAGAAGTGAGTTGTCACTTACTGGAACCTCTTACACCCTGGATGAAACTGAGCTTTGGAGGTAAGGAAAAGGAAAAGCAGTACCTGGCTGAATTCTGGACTCCCTTTTGGGACAATGGGAGGGAATGCTGATCCTTCCCTGCTACTGGCATGCATGCATTTGGCACCAGCGCTAAGTCTAACTTGTTATACACATTGGGTGCGGTTTACATAGTAGATGACATCCCCACAATGTATATTTAAGACATCATCTAATTGTGTTTTTTCTTTGATTTATTACCTTTAATCATGATTCTGTTAGATTATATCATGACAATCTGAAGGTTGTCATTTCTGCTAAGTTATATTATGTGTAAAGCTCTGGACAGCTGGGATGTTTATGGAGCAGGCCAAATTAAGTTGAAGTTACATCTTCTGGGTGTGCATGGAATTAGTTGTCATGTTTTCTGTAGCTATGACCATGAAATAGCAGTTTTTGTTTGAGAACACTTAAGAAAAAGTTCTGTTGTTTTAAGCTGCCAAAAAATTATTCTGTGATCATCAGAAAGGTTTTGCTGGATTGTCAGGATTTCAAAAAGTGTAATTATGTCAAGATCACCAAATAATGATCCTGTCTATAACAAGGTTGATTCCTTGAAATAAAACACATAACTCACAAGGAAACAAGTTCAAAAGCTCTGGGATTCCATAAAGTCAACCTAAAGGCCCTGTATGCTGTGCAATTTTGGCTGTCCTATTCTACACAAAGGTTTACATATGTGAGAGAAACAAGGTGAAATCTTTGGTCATGAATAAAAGCAGTGGTCCTATATCTCACCGTGAGACACATTCACCGATGGCAGGGTTACAGATTTGATGACCAAAGACAGTCTGTGTCAAAATTCTGACCGTTTAGAATTTTTTGACCAAATTCTTACAGTGTAACTGCTGCTAAAATGTACGTCTATAAACCAACCAATCAGAATATGATAAGAAATGACATAGAATAAACTGGCAATATTGTTAGTGCTCATAGACACCACATTATTGTGGATATACATAACTACATACTACAAACTATAGATAAAGCTTTGCAACTGGTGTCCAAACATGATGCATAAGTTAGAGGGCGCTATGAGGTTGCGCAGCATTCACTACATCACCCAGGGGGATCACATACCAACCAAGTGCAGAGCAGGGACCCAATGGGGATCAGCCATGGATCAGCCTAGGCCCTAGCACAGCTCAGCTGGCAATTTTATATGGCTGCTACAGTATTACATGATATTTATCCAAAGCGACTTACAATAGGTGCATTTAACCATGTGGATACAATCCAAAAATTAAAAAAATCATGTAAGAACGTCAAGTTCATGAAATATGATGAACTGCTTCAAATGCTACATTTAAAACGGATGATATGAGTTGATGACATTTCTCTGCTCATATGTTTATTTTTACCTTTCAGACAGTGGACCTTTAGTTTACTCCAAGTAAGTTCAGAGATGAGGTCTAAACAGTTTGAATAAAGGCAAAATATGGCCTACTCCTGTTCCTACTTCTACTATGTAGAAAATGTGTTTCTAATGATGAACAGACAATAACTGTCTCATAGATCTAATGTATAGGATTTTAATCAATCAATGCACAGAAGCCAGACAACATACTACACATAGATGTGATGCCTTGAACTTGTTTGTGCCACTGGTAACAAAAAAAATCAGGTGGAGAAATATTTTTGAAATTCTTAGATTAGAAGTGACAAGAGGGAAGAGGTGGAGTCAAAGTAGACACATTAATCAAAATAGACATTATGTAAAACTCAACCAAATATATTAGGTAAGTAGTCTGAAGATCAGACTGCAGCCAAGGATAATAAATCAGGTTCAGAGGTTTCTGTAGCTGACCCTGTGCTCCGGTCTCACAGAGTGCTCGGAAGCAGCTGACACAAATATTTCTTCTTCAGGGATTGATAAAATATCACCATAAGACTTTGTATAACATCACTCACAGATAATGCCAATAACTGCTCAGATATTCTGCTGTAATAACCAGATGAGTCTGAATCCTCTGGACAGCTTATCAGTGACATTGCCAAGGTAATCATGCTTAGTGGGAATGTTCTATAGCTGGGTTCAATATTTCACTTTGGTGGGAGGATCCAAGGGCGTTTTGTAGTTGAAATGAGAAGCAGAAGAGGATCTGTCAGACTCGGCAGCTCTGCCTGTTTGTCCCAGGTGTAAGTGCACTAAGCAGAAATGGAAACATGCAGGGACTTTGCTTAAAAGTGTGATCTGTGTTTGCCTCTTTGAAGATGTGCAGCTGTGAGCTTCAAAACGCCAAACTCTGGACATGCAGAGATGGTATCACTTGAGGTGATAAATGTAAATAAACCAGTACATACTTGCAAGCAGACTATGGCATCCAGAGTAGTCTGTCTTCTACTTATACCAGCATTAGTTACCCATGAGATAATTTTATTTACTGGTTATATAACTTAACAATATCTTTTATTCTTAATAGTAAAAGCTGTTTGTGAATCCCAACGTTTAGATTCTTGTTTGCATTAGAAACATAAACTTATTTTTTAATATTGAGGTCATTGGATGTTGCGCTATGAAACAAACCTTAGGAGAAAGTCAAAATGTTATTTTTGACCTCTAATCCAACAGCGGGTAACATCTTCAAATTTATCCACAAACTGTGCCGGTGTCTTAACTTGTGTACCAGTGAAGAAAAGGAGCATAGAGGGGGGTTGTGCTTTGTGGAAATATTGGATTTGAACAGTGGTTTTGCAAAATTACATTCAGAGCTGTATTGTACTGGAGAGATTTTCCCTGCTCTCATTGCCTGGCTAACATTCACCCAAAACACTTGTTTTAGGTCAGAGTGATGCTGCAGGCAGTATAAGAAACTGAATTTCTTAGACCTAATGTCAAACTGGAAGACGTTGCTTTCATATCAGGCGACCATATGTTCACATATGGGAGATATTTTTCTTGGTGCACACTTGAAAATGATTAGTTAGATAATAAGTCTAGAGTTTTTCAAGTTTGTTTATTGCATTTAGATTTATTTATTTATTTATAAGTAAGAACATTTACTGTATATGCTCATCAGGTCACAACTTGATGGATGCAGTTTATATTTGTTTTACAATGCTAAAGCGGTTATAGCCAGCCGGAGGTGCTTGGCGTTACTCCAAATTTGTGGACTTCTCATGTAGAAATGGACTTGTTCAAAGACTCCAGACTGTCAGCTCATTCCTTAACCTCCATCCTCTTTGCCGGTCCAGTTGCAGGGGTGCTTATCTTCTCATTCAGCCCTGAATATGCTGCCCTGAAATTGGCTTGGGGAAAAAGGCACTAAAAATAGGGGGTTGGGTGACATTGATAATCTCTGCTAATGACACGTTAACAGTAGCTTGCTCCACAGGAGAGTGGCGGCTTTATCATGTGCAGCTGTCTAAAGCTGACAGCGTGTGCCTCGCACTACCCTGGGCCGCTGCTTTCTGCTGATGAGTGCCACCTGAAATTTGATGTGGAAATGGTACTCAGCCTATTTGGAAATGTGTAGTCCACTGATATAATGTGCCCCATTATAAGTCTCTAAATCCAAGATGAGAAAGGTAATGACTATTCATGAAGAAATATTTTATTAGCTTTTCTTCTCTCCCTTCTCCCCCTCCAGGCCTTTGTCAGCGCTACGCATGAAGAGGACAAGGTCATTGTGTTTGACAGGGGAAATGTGCTCTTTATCTTCAACTTCCACCCCAATAAGAGCTTCCAGGACTACAGGGTGGCTGTAGAAGTTCCAGGAAAGTATCCTTTTAGCTCTCATCTGTCATGTCACTGCTTGTGTCCTTTAAATCTTCAGACATTGGCTTTCCTCCACAGTTCACACACTCAGTGCATCTCAGAGTAATGATGTCTTTGATAGTTACTACTTTTATACAACAACAAGACTAATTGTTTGAGCTTGACAAAATCACTAACTCGTAATATTTCAACAACCACCTTTACTACAGGATTCTCTAGAGCTAATGACTACATTCACGTCAGATCAGCTGCACTTACTCACATTATGGTGCCACTAAGTGTGGCTGTTACGACATTTTAAGGATAATAATAGCAATATTCTGTGTTGTTCTTAGTGTCAACAAACCCCATGAAAAGACCAAAACAAATATTGCATGCATTTACCTTCTTCCCCATCTTGGGGACCCACCTGTTTGTTTCTACTGAAGATGTTAATCTTGAAAAACAACCAATACAAGATATAATTAAAGTTTAAAAAAAAAGGTTGAATGTGGAGCACTTGAGCCCTGTAGTTTTTAGTAAATGATACTCAAACAGGAGTACATTATTATGCCTGTGTTGGTCACTATATTCAGCTGTGGATTATATATACTGGAATGACTCAAAATAAATTACAGTTCCTATCTTCATAGTAATATAGGGAAATGTCACCCAGTAATGGAGCTATGTGTCACAGAGGAATAAGATCGGACATCAGACTTTGATTACACAGACAGAACTTGTGTGTAGGATCAATTCATTGGTTTTGGTCTAGACAGTAAATGGCCATGTCAAGATATGTCATTCCAGAAAAGCAGCAATTTCTAATAGTATTTAAATACTAGAGTAAGATGAGTTATTTTAAGATAATCTTACCATGAAAAGAGGAGCAAGTAGCTAATCTCCAATGCTTGAGACTCTCAGTAGCATATATTGTACATGAGTTTCTCAGTTAATCACATGGTACTGTGTACAATATATTAATGTACCAATACATCTAAACGTCTAAAAGTCCCTTCTGAGAAGATGCATTCTTCTGGGCTGAAAAGCAGATATAAATTTAGCAGTCAATGTTGAGAGGAATTTGAGTCAATTGTTTATAGTTGTGTTGTTATGCGATTAGAAAGAAATGATAGCAAAGCCCAGTGATTCAGAAAGCGCTCTCTATAGCAGCATTGGCTGTCTGTCTTCCCAGCGAGCAGAGCTTGAGGAATTTAATGAGTCCCACAGTTGTGATTACAGCAGGCTTAATGATCAGGGATGTGAAGGGGGACAGAAAGCTGACAGATTTGTATTTATTATAACGGACATCACTCTCTTCTGGGGCCCACTGAAGCTCACAGCAACAGTTTCCCGGATGGATACGAAGCTGTGTTGCTTTTTCAGCTATGACTTAAATAATGTGATGGTGAGTCACAACACAGACAGAGTTTGTTAGTTTTCTCTTGCTGCCAGCGGTTCAAATCACTACACATGAGCAATTCGGTCTCAAATTATGATGATTTGATTGGCTGACAATGAGGCTGTTACACAGCAGTTGTTTCTTTGATTTCTACATTATTTTTTGTTTCATTTAGATGGATAAGTTTATGCTTCTTGCTAATTAGTTAAATAAGGAAATAATAAAACTGTCAAAGTAATGAAATATCTTAAATTAAAACATGTTAATACAGTATCAGCATGTTGATAATTGTACGTATGTTAAGAAGAATATGTTTTATTACATCCAAAATCATTTTAAATTGAATTCAATTGTATTTTGCCAGGTTATGAACGTTATCTGGCAGTTATTGTATTATATATTGTTATGTAGATGGTAGCATGATTATTACATATTAGATATATTATGGATAAAAAAACTGTACAAAAAGAACATTTCTTACATCTTAAAAAGACAAAATATGTTAGTAAATATGAATAGTGAGACAAAACAATAATCAAGTTTATCTGATGATTAAAAAACAACAGACGTAACCCCTAATCTCTTAATATCATGCGTTAATTGTAAGCTTGTTTGATGTGCCATAATTGTATGTTCTGCCGCGTTTTCGGCTCTGCCTTGATGGGGTGAATCTTGGGCACACCACTAATAGCCTTGCTGCAGTGTCTGTAACACCGTTTTTGAGGGTTTATTTTCATTTAGATGAAACCACATCTTTTCCTCCTGGTGCTTCTTTTGATGTTTAAGGAGAGGCCTCAGACACTGGGTGGGTTGAGAGGAAATGCAAATAAATGTGAGGGCAAAGCTCTGGCTGTCATTATACAGAGAAGCAGTAAACACATAAAGGCAAATGTGCTGTGTGTGCGAGGAAGGTAAATGTGCCGTGTGTATGAGGAGATGCAGATCCTCCGATGGGAATGTGTGCAGAGGATCCAATTAGGGGAGAAGACAGATGAAAGTGCCACTCAGAGGCAGAGGAGGTAAACAAGACAAGCTCAAAGAGTCCAAAAGTGCTTTTTCATTACACTCAGCTGTCATATACTTAAACTTTCTTCTACCTGTGTGAGGGTCAGGGATGTCACAGTGGAGCCCCAAACCACTACTGTATCTGGAAAAAATATCTGGATGTGTCTGACCATGCTGTGCACCACCGTAAGTGGATCCAATAAAGGGTGTTATTTCTTTTTGGCAATATGACAAGTACCGTATTATATCAGAGGGTGTCCCTCTCCAGCAAAAACACCATTAAGTTACCTTTTGTTGCCCTCTGTCACATGCTGGATGACTGCATGTTGGTCTAGATGGATCTTCAGGTGGTTCCTCTGTTTGCTTGTTAAAAAACTGTTGTAGTTATTTTACCACTAAAGTAAAAAATAATCACAATGTTGCCCTGTTGCAGCACTGTTTTATAAATGCATCCAGTTCTGCATAATGCTTTAGTGTGTTAGCTAATTATACATAGAAGCTAAGACATAGAAACGATGGGTTACAGCTAAATAACTGCTGTTGATTTAGTGTCTGGAGTATAATCTGAAACTGAATGTCTGCTGTTTTAACTTTAGAATAAATAAACTAAACAACTCAACTGCAATATAGTCATCATCCCTGAGTACCAGTCCTTAGTTGGATGCACAGTGACTGTTTGGCCTCTTCATATTTTCAGACAAGCTTTTCTTTTGCTTCTCATTGTCCTCTTTTAAATGTGCTTTTTTTTTCTTCACTCCACAAGGAAGAGGAGAGACAGTGAAGCAAAGCACTGAAAATATTGGCCATTAAAATGCAGTCAACGTCAGCTTTTCGACAGGCCCTCAAACCATCAGTGTTTTTTATTATTTTCTTTCTGACTTGTGGTGGACACATTCTTCAGGCACTGGGCTTTATCTGGCTGGTTAGAGTATTTGAAATCCCAGTTGGATCCCGTCATGAAAGCTGTACCTGTCAGAGCAGATTGGTCTTTGATTTACACTGTGCCAATAGGCAGTTGAGATTGTGTCAGGTCATCATTCTCCTTTTCTGTCGGTTCCTTGGATGCCGTTTGGAATAATTCAACTACAGGTGCAGTGACACTAACTAACTTGAATTTAGAATAAAATACACACAGTCATGCATAGGTGACTATAATTTACTCTGATTTTATCTAGAATGTACCACATATGGTTCCTGAAAAAGGAAAATATGCGTCTAATTTTTTTTTACCACAGCATGCTGTAAGATACATCAAGATGGATTGTATAAACAAAATTGTATTACTTTTCTCTGCAGGTTGTAACTCTACCAGATATCATCCACAAACATCTTCATCAATTCAGAGACTTAATCTGTGTTTTCAAATTTTGGCGTCTTGAAATGCTGTTGACAAATAGAGATGCTGCTTTTATTTTAAGCATTAAAGGGAAAATTCCAGTATATTGTAACTTATGAGCTCTTATTTTTATGGTTTTGGGCATCATTTCTCTCCCCAGATCAGACAGGTTGTAAACAGCTAACAGTTGATCTAGATTATCTAACACTTTATGTGAAGGTGAAATAAACCATAAATCAACTCAAGTCCCATCACAGCTCTGTTTACAGAAAAATCTCTTATTTATTATACAACACAGTTAGTCTGGCAAAAAACTAGGCTCAACTTTTGTTGTAGTGCAACACGACATGTTCAAAGCTGCCTCACAAACACATCCCCCTGTGCTGTTTTAATGCAGGTTTTTTGGTCTGAATAACTATACACAGTCATTTTAGATCATTGTCAAATAAAAATAAAACACACAACCATGCACAGGTAAATTAAGCAGTTATCTGATGCACAGACAATCTGCAGCTCAACACACTCTCCATTTCTAAACTGCAATAATTGAAAGCGTTCTCACGTCATCTAACAGTCTGGTTCAACAGTTCAGACAGTCAAACCTACATAAGATTCTCACTATACTTCAGTTCAGAGTTTCAGCAGCTGGTTAGCTAGACCAGTCTCTTATTCCTCTGTGACAGAAGCTATTTCTACCATTTCTTCCACTCTGATGTAACTTGCACTAGCTTAGCAGAAAGGAGAGAAAAGTCAACTCTGAAAAAGCAGGATTCGGAATTTAGAATGCTTAGGAGGCCATGCCACATTCTTCAAATGTGCACACACATCTCACTCTGCTCTTGTTCACCCACGCCAGGGTGCTATTACTTTCATAAAGGCAGGAAAAAAGCCCAAAAAACCCAGACTAGCTGATGGAGAATCTAAGTGGTGTCTCGGTCTGCAATCATGGTCATGGCCAGATTGTTTTCAGGTCATCAATGGCTCTAATCATCAAGCATTCCTTTCTGTTCAATGGGCAAAATTGATTGTGTTCTTAAATCTTCCCCTTTATTCACAAAAACTATATTGATTACAATGCTTTACAGCTGAACTGCAAGCTGTTGTTGCAGCCGTCTGTAGCCACTAACAAAGACGTAATCGCTCAAAGCTTCCAACTACCAATTTGTGCTAGTTCTCGCTTCCTTGCTGAATGGTTTGCCAGGGAACTCTGAATTACTGTAACTATGCTTCATTTCCAGCATACTCTGTGCCACAGACATGCACACATACACACTGCAGTGTTACTTGCACTTCAAATCAAATATTTACAGTTCACAAACATATTCCATGCACTGTTGTATTGGGAGGATTAACCTTTGGAAACACACATCCTCAGTTTCGCAGAAGCATTCTAACCCCCAAGAGAATATTTCCACTTTCTTCTGCTAGTTATTGTAAAACCTTCATAGTAGAATTAGTTTATTCTGTCAATAAAACACCATAGCAGCGAGTAAAGCAGAGGAAGCGTGGAGGAGGGCATCTTCTTCCCCAGCAGAAACAATGCACGGAGCAGTGCTTCTTTTTAATCATCACTATCAAAGCAGACAAGCAGGCAGCAAAAGCGGAATATTCCCGGCTCTGGGGCAGAATGAAGCAGTGTTTGAGGATCACACTCAAATATAGTATATCGCCTATGGGCCGATAAGATGATTATTCAGCCAGCCAATTAGGGGGCTGTTTGCATGTCTACTCCTCTCTCCTGATGTTTGTTATAGTACCACTCCTTACAGCTCATGTCCCTGAGAGACAGGAGTAAATAATGCACAACACTGTTGACGTATTTATGGGTATTTACGTTATACCTTGACATCAGGGTACACGTGTAGGTATCCAAGCATTTCTGACTGGCATGAGCAAGGCTAAACTTTGCCTGTAGAGAAGTTTTCAGATAAATGTGTGTGTGTGTGTGTGTATGTGTGTGTATATATATATAGTTTAAGAAAGGGACGAGGATTTTCTAAAAGTCTCCCTGGAAAATTGTTTCTTCAGTCAGACATTATAGGCTCTTTCTTAACAATTTAGATCAAATTATTCAGTATTATCCATTTACCCCTGCTGAAGGGCATAATTCATCATATAATCGAATTTGATCCTGTACTTTCGTAAAAAGGTGAATATAGTCCTCACTGGAGCATATGGCATGATTTACATATTTTATGCAGTGACTTTCCATCTTGGTCCCTCTTCAAGAACACACATGTCAAGAAATTGTGGTAACCTTATGGAAGCTGCCATAAGTCAGCTCCTCAGTGTCTGAGCATCCTTGTTCAGAAGCACAGCAGAGAGACTGTGCAAAAAGAATGAAAAGGGGCCTTCTCTTAACCGTCCATACCAGACACACTCAACGTGTACAGACACCTTTACTATACATGATCAAAGGCAGTTCACTATGTAAGTGACAATGAGCAGCTGATAAAGACTTTTAAATGGTAAAGAAAAAAAGTATTTGTGTTGTAAGTTTGGGCATGAGCAATATACAATAAATTCCACATAAAGTATACAGTATTAATAAAGGAAAATAGGACATATTTTAGTCTCCAGATGTGCAATGCAATACAGTGTTTGTTAGGTCAGTATCAGACCAGAAATACCTTCTGGGGCCTCCACAAAATATTGTCTGAGAGGGATGAATACCCTGGCAGTCATTTATGTGTTATTCTTTTTAATCTAGGTAAATTTGTGGTGATTTGCTCTCACTTTGACATTAATGAGTTCTGTTTCTTGGTCTGTGTCAAAAATTATTCCACTGTGATTCAAAGTTGTAAATCAACAGAACATGAAAAACTCCTAGGAGGAGTAGATACTTTTTATAGACAGCATTTTTGTGTCACTCATTTGATCGCTTTCTTTTATTGATTTCATTATTTATGCAGTGAATTAGATAAATTAGACAGTCAGGCTGGATGGTTGAGCCATGGCTGAATCACTTTTGTATTTGTGTTCATTTCAGGCAGCGTTCTTTGTCTGTTTGGGCTCCGCACTGTCACTTTTTAGTGCGGGAAGAGGAGATGAATGATGATGGATGTGAGGATTTGAATGAATATAAACCAGCTGAGCACTGCTAAACCAAGTCTACACACCAAAAGCACTGGTGATAAAACCTTCTCTTGTGCTTCCTATGTCTTAAATCTTATAATCTAGTTTCCCACTGCTATTGCGCCTTAACGTCAATCTTTGTTAGATATAAAATCAAGCTGGATTCAGATCAGGTTCAGTATGGAGGTCACGGACGGCTGGACCCCAGCACAGAGTTCTTCACAGAGGCCCAACCCTTCAACGGTCGCCAAAACTCCATGCAGGTAAATATTTTTTTGACTCATCAAAGGTCATCTTTTGTTGAATGTAATCGAGTCCTAAATATGGAGTATACTCCAGTTCTTTTTCCGGGGCCATTGTGTTCGAGTCCATGCAGTGTCTATACGAATTTTCTAATAATCTATGCTGTATCACCATCCCACTCTGCATACTAATTCTAACATGGTTGGAGAATGTTGTACATTCACACTGACAAAGTGACAAAATTAAGCGTACTCAAAAATGTCAGTATGCGTACTAAATTATTTTTGAGTGTGCTGTTGATGGACATCATTGTCCCACGATGCAGCGCACATATGTAATGGAGGAGCTGCTCATAGCTGACAAACATCAAAAGCAGCTGGTGGGTGGTGATGAGACGGCTCCAGAAATATCTTGTTTAAAAAAAATAAAATAAAATAAAAAGCAGGATTAAAACTTTGGACAACATTTTTCTTTCTCTTTGTTGTGTCCAAATTTATTTTGCCTGTAGCGTTACAAAGTCACACGTCTAGCATCATTAAAATGTACAAAATGTGCATTTCTTTCTTGTGTACTAACTGCCTTACTACTTATGGTATCTGTATGTTGAGTAGATTTAGGGCAAAGCTTAGGTCTCGCATACCTTTTTCCATTTCAGACATTGTGAGTTACAGGTGTAACTAAAAAAGGATGATGACTTCTATTAAAGTGTCACTAAAGCAAACCTGACTTCTAATGCAGCCATCATTCATGTTATTTGTTACACACTTGTAGGGCTCATTATATACTGTAGATGGAAGTGGAGGATTAAGAAGTAGAAATACAAGATATGCATGATGCATGCCATGATGAGCCTGTGAAGGCATAGGTAAAAAGCAAGTATAACAGTGGCTTTAATGGAACAGGGCCATCATTAATGCTTAGTTAGACCTGTGTTTTTTACATGTCATGTTTTCCAGTTTATAACATATAATGTTCCTTAAACATGTCAGATTATATGCATTAATCAGGTTGATAATTATCACATTTTGTAAAACGTGGCAGCATGCAAGAATAGGACCCAGATGTAGACTTCCAGTCAGAATAGGCTCAGTTAAACGTCATTTGTTGATATTCATATACAAAGTGACCAACAGACAAGTGACAACAGACAATGGGAAGACACTTACTTAAATACACAAGAGGGAGGGGATTGACGAGATACAGGTAGAACACATTAGGGCTAAGTAAACGATCAACCAAGGAACACAATGATAGCATCAAAGCTACACAGGACACAACAGGAAGGATATTTTCAAAATAAAAAAGGAAATCATAAAAACTCCACATTATAACAGATAATGATGGTTTTATAGTAGTTTAGTGTTTATGCAGGGAAAGAGATGCACACACAACCTGCTTGTAGCAGTTAGGATGTGTGATGAAATAGCTGTCAGTGTATTCATGTTTTGTCCATTTATGTGTGTTTTTGATTTCACTAATCAATGTAATTAGCCTGAAATTGAGTTTGCAGTGAAAATATCCTTTTTGAGGCATTCTAATGAGGTTTAAGTGTGTTGTCATGAAAAAGGACTGCCTGTTGTAGAAAAAAGCCTCCATCTCCCTGGTCTGGGCCACTCAGCTTAACTGCTGCTCTATAATTTAGTATCTTTTTCATGTGATTAGCTTTTAATGCTGAATCCAGAAACTGATCAAATATGGGTGCATTAAAAAAAAAAAAAAAGCTACAGTGGCTGTCAGGGGACGGCATCCATTGTTTGTGGTTTCTCCACATTAGGCTTTTTTTGTGTGAATATTATATTTGACTTCTAATGTGAATCTGATATCTCCAGCTCCTTCAGATTCTCCAGCAAACAATGTGCATTATTCATGGTGTTAGAACTTACCTTTTCATGTGCATGCCTCTTAAGCTCGCGCGGCGTCACAGAGGGTAAAAAAATATCTGGGAAAATGAACCACTGGGCTTCCATCATGGAGACTGCTTTAGGCTGATAGCATGAACCAGGTCGGTCCTTGAAATACAGAAAGAAACACCGATATGCATTTTAAGCAGCGTGCTTGAGGATCTTCCTCATGTTTGCCTCCTTTTTTTCCTGATGTAATTTTTTCTTGATTAAAATGCTGAAAGGCAATAAGATGTTTATGAATAAGGTTAGGGATGAGTTAGTGAGGATCAGCACTGATACCCAAGCACTCCAACTGAACTCGCCTGATTGCGTATGTTAGATGTTATGTTAATCGATCCAATTAATGCGTGTGGACAGTGATGTCTGTGAAGTGGTCTGCACAGTCATCCTTCGTCTCCTGTGGTTTTTCAGTTTGTTTAGTAAAATAACAAATATCTCAAGTAAGTCAGTACACTTAAGCTGTTTCAGTTAGTGCCAGAGTTGACATAGCACCTGATGAGGTGTTTGTTTATCTGAACTCAACCTGAACCTCCTCAGATCAATACTGAAAGTGTTGGAGATAATGGATAAGAGTATTTTACTCTACATCAAGAGTTGAACGGAGCACTTTATTGCATCAAAAATGTGTTCGGCAAAGCTCACACAGCTATTAAGGGCATCAATTCAGCATTATTTAAGTTTGGTTAAAAAGCCTCTTCCCCTTTCAGGCAGACTGATCCTCCATCGTATTAGCTTAGGTTTCATCAGTTAAGGACTCAAATTCCACACTCTCTTAAATCTTTTTTAACTCTTATTAATTCAAACACCACTGCTTCACCCACGTCCCTCTAGGCCAAAATGTGAAGTTTAGTTAACAAGTCATCTGCTAATGTTGGCACCATCATGGATTAATGGAGAATGAAAGAGAGTAAGAGGAATGGGGCCAACGGGGAGGAGGGAGGAGGCAAGGTGTTGACCCTTCTTCACACTGTATCTCCTTTAGACTCCCTCATAGAGATTGCACATTAAGACTGTAGTCTTGCATAAAGATGCTGCTTCTCCTCCTCCTCCTCACACCTACCTGGTTATGACAAAGATAATCAGACAAGAACCTCTGCGGGGGTTGCAAAAGGTGCCCACACTATCCATGTTTTATTTAACAACTGTTGCTTTCAAAGTCTGTGCAAACTTCTTCTCTCCTGTCTTTTTAATGGTTCCGTCAGTTCTCCAGCTTCCTCATTACTGAGCGATAATAAACTCTCATATCCTTCAAGAATGCATCTCTCCTCAGACGGAGAATGCACATAATTGGATGAAGCCAGCAGAGTTGAGAGCATTTCGGTGGCTCGGTAGGCTGTGGCAAGCATCATGTAACTGTGACCCTCTGTGTTTACAAATGTGGTCCTGGACTGTTTCCATGTAACATCTCTTTAGCTCTTTAAGTCATGTCCTTTTCTCCATTTAAAAAAAAAAAAAAAATCAATAAAGAGAAAAATGCCTTCTCAAAACAAACAAAAAACAGGAACGAAGTAGAACCTGTTAGACATGACACAGATGGTTAACCAGTTCTACAGTGTATTCAAAAGAATGTTGCACATTGTGGTCGGTGTTGGTAGGCTGAGTCGGTGTCATGCTATTTTGGTTTCGAAAATGGTTTCACTTGACTTAATTTATAAGATTAAACTTTTACATCACTGTATACAGTGTACGCTGCATCTGTTACAGATGTCTTGCTAAATGATGTCTGTGTTTTTTGAGAATATTTTGATTTCCCCATTAGAAATTCTAAGTCATCCTTCTAAAAGACTCTTTTTACTCTTTTATTACTTCTCCTTATTAATAAAATGTGGGACTAACTTTAAATAAGTTATCAATTCTGTAGTTAGAAATGTTAACAGAGTCATCAATAAAGGTTCATGAGTTTTTTTACTTTCCACTAAGCCAACAGGTCTACAGTGCTAAATGTGGATAATTTGTTTGCATGCTCTGTAGCCCTTTTCAGTAGGTCAAATGCAAAGTTTCATGTTGGAGTGGTAATACATCAGCCACAACCTGACAATCCAAAAGGTGCTCATTTCAATTTATTTATATATATATAATTAAATTATAGTACTTAAGTGAGTAGTTTTAGTTTAAGTTTAAAGTACCATCTGTGCCAAAAATAAAATATTCTGCATTTATTATTTCTTACTAATTAATAAGATCCATGTCAGTGACTAGTTCTAATTAAAATGCTAATATCAGTTTTGGTTGTGACTAAGCACAGTGGGAAAGGGTATTTGTTTTTAATATTTAATAGACCAATGGTTCCCAAAGCAGGTGCCTTAGTACAGCAGCAAGATTTATCATAACTTTGTCATTTATTATGCATTTTTAACAATCTGAGCGATATTAAACTTAATAGTTTTTTTGCTGCAGCTAATGACATTATTTTATATTAAGGGTTGGGTGGCTCAGAGTGCCATTGCCTTAAAAAGTTTGGGAACCACGAAAGAAACAATATCCCAATTTACTTTTATATCAAATCTACTTGATTTTCAGCCAATATTGGTGAATATTAAATAAAAAAAATATAATCCTACATATTCATTATTGAATGTAAGAGCAACTACTTCCTACTTTTTAAAGTGTTTTAGGTGTTTGATGTAAAAGGTTTATTAAGGTAACAGCACTGTTTAAAAAAGAAAGTAGGGCTTGTTAGCAATAACACAAGAATCAGCACCCTGTGAATGTTTCAAAAGCTAGGAAGTCATGAAACTGAATAAAACGGATGAAAAATGCACTCTTCTCGTTATGCAAAAAGAAAATGTTGCAGCTAACCCTTCATCTGAGTGAACTGACAGCTTGATATACTCAGCAGAGCGTTTCACGAGAATTTCTCACATCAGGAACTAGGACTATTGCTACTGAACGATTTACAATTTATTCATTTAGCAAACCAAAAACTATAATAGTCAAGGGTGAAAATTTGCCAAGTGAGAAATTGTATTTTTGGTTAACCTCTACTGGTATTTGTCACATTTACCATTTTTGTTTGAGTGGTTAGGCTATAATGTCAAAGACATAACGCGAAGACACACTAATGAATAATTAGCTGCTTCTTCATTTGATAACATTTGCATGCATCAAAGGGGTTGTCTCCTTTGACAGTTTCACATAAAGAAATTAAGCTGAAGTGGGGAAGTTAAAGAAAGTGAGGGAAACGTAGCAGGCTTGTGGTAAATGATCAAAAAACCCTTCTTAAGACATGAGAAAGTAGGCCTGATGTTGACGTGTGAACTAATAGAGAAAACTGTGACAGGTTGCTGAGGACCTGCTCGCACTTTACATACACATACAAATATACTGCTAAATCCTCATACGAATTCTGTGTATATAGTATGAAACATGTACACATGTAAAAACTTGCATTGAGCATTTGTTTACAGTATGTGAAGCAGATCACATCAATCCTTTTTTATGTTTTTATTAATCTATTTTGTAAAAAAAAAATAAAAACAACAAACAAACAAAAGTTCTAATCCTGTATTGTTCATTTTACAGGAACTTAATGTTCAAGTGTTTTTGTTATTAGCAATATTAGTTTGGTAAGCTCTGTGAGTAAGCTGATCAATGTAATTTAATTCAGTACTTGAAGGAAACCGAAACATAGATTATCCTGTAGTCTTGACTCAGTTAACCATTCCAATCAGGTTTGTGTTGTTACCCGGTCAGATCCTTGGTCTGCCTGAAGTACAACCTGCATATACAGAAGTGCTTAAAGGGAGTTGATCCAAGTGAGTAATAGAGCCAAACAGAGACATGTCTGGAGACTTTAACTGCGCAGATAGTCAGGCTGTGCTCTTGCCAGCAGCCCAGGTCAGGAAACAGAAACCTAGTGAATGTTATATTCCTGTGAAGCACCTCATGAATCCTTTATCAGTGTGTTTGAACATTGATCAGATTGAGAATTAGCCCGAAGGCTGGACTCCGCTCTCGAAGTGAGAAGAAAACCCAAATTCTCACATGAGAGTGTGATATGAGGCGATAGAAGAACATCCGTAAGACAAAAGAAGTTAAAAAAAAAAAAAAAGAAAGGACAAACAGCCTTGCCCAACTTTCTACTAATACAATAAATATACTTTGGAAACTTTGCTTCCTCTTTATCTCAGTTTGTTTTGCAGCTCTGATATTAACACTTGGAACAAATTGTCAGATTTGCAAAGGTTATGTTGTACAGTAACTGTTGTTGGATCTGACTGCTGGTAGTAACTTCTGTTGCATAGATCTGAAATGTGGCTTATGAATGTGTGTGTGAGAGAGAAGTGGTAAACACCTACTCTAAATGACTCATCACAAAGCAGCAGAGGCTTTATGGACATATTTAGACAAATCCAGTCAGATGCTGGAAGACCAGTGTTGCACATTGCACATCACCTTCACAATATGTTGCCAGCAGAAGTTGTGTTACATTGATGAGCATTGTGTCAGACATTATGCCTGAGATATTTATGTTAATATTGGGCGACTAGATGTGTGATCTAAATGAGCTCACAACATAGGTTAACAGGAATGTAATATCATTAGTGCTGGGCTGGGTTATAAGCTTTTGAATGGGGGTTTCTAATATTAAACTAGTATATCAATAAATGACTTGCTATTTGTAACTGCAAGTAGCTTACCGTCATGGATTAATTATGAGACAATGAGCCATTGGACACATTGGTAGAAGGTCCCGCACCCCTCCTACATAGGAGCAAGCCGGCAGACTGAAAGAGACACAAAACATAGACATATAGATAAATATTTTTTATTATTAATAATTTATTATTATATGTAAATGAATAAAAACAAATTTAATTACTGGTAATTCTGGAACAGTTTTTATTTGTATTGATATTTTTATTATTACCACTGCCTTAACTATTATTTTACATCTCTATGTGGAACTTGCATTGTGCTACTGTGTGTTCTATTTTCTCCTGCTCAGATAACTCTGAACCGTAGTGTCACTCCTTGACTATCCCCCCGGGTTGTTTTGTTTTAGCTCAGCTCAATGTAAGATGACCCTCTGGTCCTGTGATCAATGGGAATGTTTCTGACTAAAATGTAAAATAATTGGGAATAACTGATCCATTTTTAAATTGTGTTTAGTCTGAATTAGAGATGTTAGTGAGTAACAGTATGTAGAGTATGTAAGTATTTAATTTAAACACCATCGTGTTGTGAGAAGTTAATTAGAATGTCATTCACTAATTGCTGTGTCAACACATGGGGATATCTGCTGCTATTTGTTCACAGATTGATTTAGAATTTGTCACTATTGCTATCGGTTTGATGGGAATAAAAGCTGTTGACATATTCCAGGTTAGGCACAGTGGTATCTTTTGTCTAAACAGGTGCAATGATTCATTCTGCCTTCCCTTTTCTCTGCGGTGCTTCCACATGGAGACTCTCCCACTGTGACTGTTTAATTAGTCACCAATGTCTGTGTCAGTGTTTCAATGCCTGGCTGCTCGACTCCCTCGGTGACAAACTGTTGCCAAAGAAACACATCCACAGCGAGCTCAGATCCACTGATGCTGAGGGGCGGCTTGAAGAGTTCAGGGGGTGATTGAATTGTTTACAGCTCTGCTCTCTTTTTCAGTTTTCTGTTGGGAAATATAGCATCATTTATGTCTGCTTGGCTTTTCCTTTGGCATAAATCTGAAATGACTAATAGCACACAGTGGCTCCTTGCCTTCCAACAACACTGTGAATATCAAAAGGATTGATCAAAGACTTTATTAGCTACACACTCCAACACCCTCACTAAGATTTCTTTGTACTGTATATATAAGGAATCTGACATTTCCAGGCTTGGTTCCTTCCTTTTTTTCCATGGTGTGCTTATTTTTTGCTGACATGTTTTTTCTTCAGTCCACCAAAACTCGGGAGATTCTTTTACTTTAGCTTATGCCCACTGGCAGTTTGCATCTTCACAGAATCCCAAATTTACAGTTGATGCACAGCCAAATATATAAAAATGATGAAACACACAGTTATTGCATTGATTGGAGAGTTCAGAATAAAAAATTTGGATATTTTTTCCTCCCTACTTTAGGCATGATTGCTCTTTGGGGGACTGTTCACTTGAAAGCACAAGCTTTGAATGCAGTGTGATGTTAATGATATAAATTTGAGGCAGATTAAGCTACTGATCAAGAAATTTGCAGCACCAACGATGCCATTATGCCATCCATCCATTTTCTCAATAGCACAAAGCTTAAAATGAAATGCGTCAGAACCAGTTCACAGGCACAACTTTTAGCAGTTGTGACTTCTTTCCTCAGGCAGATCTGTTGACTCCAGTGCCACCCAGAGGTCGTAATCTAGCTGCAACTCTGTCACATTTTGATTATACCTCTCTAACCTTGACGACCTTCTTCGATCAAGGCTGTGGTGTTTGTGTACTGTCTCCTCTGAAGAGTTATTTTTCTACTCGTATCTGAATATCCCTCTGAATACACCCCCATCCTCTTCTTTCGCTGCCCCTGTCTTTTTCCTCCTTCTCATCCTCTTCATTTAGCCGTCATGTCAACCTTGATTTTGAGAAGCGATCACAACTTATCATCAAGGCACCAAGTGCCTCCATGTCTGACTTCTAAAAAATGATAAACCTGATGATTCAGTAATCTCCAAAATAGGTGATCTTGTTAACATCATTAATCGTCAATTGTCATCTCACTTTTCTCCCCACTTTCTTTCTTCTCTTTGTCTCACTTTCTTTTTCTCTCTCAGGTCTACATTCCCTGCAGAACAGCTATTGTCCTGGCCAACGAGGAGATAGATTACTGTTATTAGAGGATGATTGTCTCCACAGAGACCAGGATCGAGAATGGATTCCAACCTCAAACTGAGTGTTAACAATCACCTTCATCATAAAGTGTCAACCTTGCACACCACCCAAACCCACCTTTTGTGTTTGAGTCTTTTTCTAAATGAAAAAAAAAAAGCGTGTGAGCTTGTGTGCTTTCAAACACCATCTGCAACCTTAGATGCTGTGTAACCCCATTTACTACAGATTGCTCCATTTGGGAAGCTTCCAACCTAACCAGCAGCTAGATGCTAAAACTTTAAACCCTGCCGAGTCCATCCACCACTAGCCAGCAGCCATTTATAGGCTCTGTTGAATTTGGCGTGTCATCTGATACACCTGACTGGCGACTGTGGCAGAGTGCAGCAGCACAGCAAGCATTCAAACATATGTTAAAATATATTTTCCTTGTTTAATTATTTTGTATTTACATACAAATAATGTTGTGGAATAAAGAGAGTTACAGTATTACCAGCACTTCAAAATCAAAATGTCCAGGTATTTATTCACTGGTGATCCATCTTTGTTCATTTGCAATATGAGACATTGTACATATAAAATATTGTAATTTGCACAAAGTAATAAGCTGCTTTAAATTATGATACTTTTAATGGATATCTAAAACATTTGTGTTTGAATTTATGCAGCTAATGGGAGCATTTATGTGGTTATTTATGGCACTGTCATTAAGCTGGTAATTTGCAGCTAAAGCAAAGTGATAAAATCATCTTATTTGGATTGTTCAGTGCGTTGCGTAATGTACAAGTAACATTTTAGCTGCATAACAGTTTTTTCCACTTGCTAAAAGTATAGCATTGTCGTGAATTTCAGTAAACTCTTCAAACTCTTCTAAATTCTTCTAAAGTAAGTGACATACCGATGATCAACACATCATTTTGTGTGGGAGAAGACAATTTTATAGGTACAGTATGACTCACACATCTGACTACTTAAAGAGACTATGATGTATGTGCACCATGTTCATTAGATATAGTGGCATTCCCCTGGGATTATCCCAGAAAAAAACTAAATTCACACAGTGAACAATGTGTGCCTCTTCAAATTAGCACTGATTTTTGTTACTTTTTTTCTCAACACACTTGGTGATTGAACTTCTCAAAGAACAGACTCTCATTCTGTCTTTCCCCATAGCTGTTATGTGAGAAGGTTATTGAATAACACAATGTGTACGAACAGAGTAAAATCACTGATGATAGATGACTGTTCCTGAACTCACTCACGCAGGCCACATGTCATTAAAATGTTCTTTCACACAAGAGGTTTCATCTTTTCAGGTTTTGCAAACCTTGCAAGCCTTTATGTTCTTTAGGTTTCCAACCTCCTTCTAAAAGTCCCTTGTTGCTGTATGAATGGATGCCTTTTGGACAATTTTCTGTATTCTTTGCACGTTGTATCAAAGCAGCACTGGTAGAAGTGAAACAAGAGCTGATTTTGGGCATCCCAGATAAAAGCTAATGCCTTGATTTACTGCCACGGATACTGTAATTCTTTGATCCACACCTACTGCATTAGTACAGATTCTCAGCCATTTAAGCAGTTTATTATAACATATGGCAGGTTTTGATGTGCCTCCCCTGCAGCTGAAGAAAACAAATTTATATTCGGGACCATCCTCCTGTGTTTAGCCAAAGTATCATGAACATGTCATTTCTTTTTGTGTTACACCAAAAGCATTCAAAAATGCCTTTCTCCAGCACTGGAAAAGCACAGAGAGGATCACTCTGCATAAATTTTCAAGCAACGAGGTTGTGAGGCTGAAGTGGAGTGTTCTCATCAATCAATCATCCCTCATCTGACCCAATGTCATTGTCGTTTTAGCACTGCCAAAATGAATTGTCTGCATTTGTTCTCAAAAGTAAAACTGATGTCTGATACACACTAACTATTGCAGCATATTTCTTTCATTATTACTAATGATAATAAATCAGTGCCTGTCGAGCCACTAAAAAATGTGGATGAACTGGATGTGCAGCTAGACTACTGATTTTGTCCCATCACACACTTATGGAAATATAGGGGCTTTAGCATCCTCCAGAGTATATTGTGATGGTACTCTGTGATCAAGTACAGTAAAAACTGTTCTTTTTTGTCTTGATAGTCAGAGTTCATTCTAATTTTGGATGTCATTTTCCATTGTTTCATCCAACAAGAAGAGATAATTCAGTTACCTTAAATATTAGATTCACATTGTAGCTTTAAGTGCAATTAATCTCTAAGTAACTGTCATGGGAGATGTCAGTCAGGATTTACCACAATTTTGTGTGTATTTTTATTCTTTGAAATATTACAATTTTTACTGAGTGGTAATGAAAAACTATGTTAATAGTGTAAACATACAGAGGTAAACGAGCTAAGGGACTCTATACAATACATGAAAAAGTGAACTGTTAATAAGAACAGCTTTAAACCTCCTTAAAATGCCATCGTATACAGGTCCTGTGAACTTTTTGTAGTAAAATACTGGACCAGACTTAAAGAAAGAAAGCCCTGAAATCTTTGGGATGACATAAGAAGGAATCTACTTCGTTCTCTGCACTGCAGAACATAAAGTTTCAGTTTCCATTTGGTGACCAAGGAAGCTGTGAAATGTTGTTACGGGACAATACAGAGCAATCGCCTCAGTGATTCCCACAACATGATGTAAGGGGGATGAAAGACAACTCATCAGACCATACTACTTAAATTTCCTTTAAAATCCTAGGCATCCACACTTTGCGCTACTTACACCAGATTATGTGTCTGTGTGCTGGCATTGATGCAAGCAGCTTCTAATTAGCAACTTCACCATGAAAAGCAGTTTGGAAAGATCCCAATGTAGCTTTTATTGAGACTGGTTCGTAAAGGTGCTGATTCAATTCTGAGGTCATTTTTGAGACTGCATTTTTGTGTTGAGAAGAATTTTAAAAAAGTTTTCCTCTTACTGGTTCACATGCGGCTCACTTTGTTTAGCCGCATGCTTAGCAGCTGCCTGTCTCATGCAACTTGACAAAAATAAATTAGCCTTAACCACCAATAACCTTTTCCAAAATAATATTCATGTGCTAGAGGGCCTGTACAGTTTGATGCAGTCCAACACAATTTCCATGACAATTTGTACACACAGTGGACAAAATAACAGAAACACCTTACAGTGTAATAACACCACAGCAAACTATGACCTCAGAACTTTTAGGAGTTTTTCCATTACCATTCTGAAACAGTCTCAGCAAAATCTGAACTGCAAGCTCCACAATGTTAGATGGTAGTGAATGGCTATTTCATGTGGGTTTGCACTGAACAATGCAGGTGTTTATGTTGTTGGGTGGAAGCCCTTTAGATATGAATGCCATGAAATATGCAGGACATATATGTTGTGTTGTACATGAGAAGATTTTGTTAGTAACTCCGAAAGCACAGAGTGTATTCTGTGTTGTAACGGTTTGTGTTTTTGTATTTTTTATGGGCTCACTAGGATATGCCTAGAGGGAAGATCCTGGAGAATGGAGTATTGTCAAAGTCAGAATTGGGGGTATGACATATACAAAGAACATGTTTTCACAGTCTGACCCATGAGACTGCACAAGTCAGGAAGGGATTTCACCACGCACACTGCTGCAACTGTAATACAAAAACCCTGCGATTCTATTCTGTTCTGTTACCTGAGCTTTCCAGATAAATGCTCACTTAGGCCAAGACAAGCACTTTAGAAATTACAAATGTAAAGTTGAATACATTAATTAGTGAAATGTTTATTAGGCATTTTATCTACTGGCACAGTAGGAAAACAACTAATGAATACTTTCAGGAAGAAAAACACAGAGGGTATTTAGGATTAGAATTACAGTCTAATATAAAGCAGTAAGATTGGAAGGGCAAATGTCATTGAATGCCATGATAAAAGGGGTCTACACTGCGTATGGTATCCAATGGCTTCCCTTTCTTTCAGTATGAGAGTGTTTTAAAGTGAGAGAGTTTTAGAGTGTTCAAACAGCAGAGAAAACAAGTACCTGAAAATCCTGTTTAATCATAATGTACCCCCAGAGAATTTCTTTTTGGCAATTCTGTCAAACCTCTATCTGTCAGGCTTGATTAAACATGAGCAAATTCACGGCAACAATATATGCTATTAATGTCAAGAACTATTAGAGAGGTTAGTTTTTTGTTCTCATTATTCATCAGTACAATTAGCACATACTGTTCTATGAATAGTAAAGTTCAGCTTACACATAAGACAGCTTGTTCTGTCCTCTCATGAATATGAGGAACAGTCAAGAAAAGCATATATACTCTTGATCACTGTTTTTGAAGAGAGGTAGCCTATAGTTTTCAGGTACAATCAACTCCAGCTGTGAATGCCTGGGGCACACAGTATGGAACCTGATCCTTTTAAGACCAGATGTATTTTTCTAGGATGGTAAGACGTGGTCCTCCTTAACTTTAGCATCCTCTAAACTATGGTCAGAGGCTTCATTTCTTTGGGTTGGTTCGTATACATAGAACAGACAAATTATAGAAGCCTTGATAATCTGTAGGTTGCAGTTTTAGTGTCATGTTAGGTACATGAAAAGGATCTACCAAAAGGTAATTTATCAGCACTTACTGCTGCTCTGAAGATATTAACAGAATCCTCAAAGACTCTTCCAATTATTCACTCTTGAAAAAAAAGATTTTTAACCCAGTTCCGAACTTTTGCCTGGATTTAATATCCAGGTAGCCAGCAATTATATATCTCCTTTGCTCGTTAAGAAACATATTAAAATGTTACTTTATAATGAAATAATACAATATAGACAAATATAACTGATAATAAAACATTTTGTTTCACATTGTGGAAACTGAGCACCAACATATGTCAACAACATATGATATTTCTGGCTACCATCTTTGTTTGGATTAGACAGTGCAGCAACTTGGGAAATGGGTTAAAAAGCTTCTTCACGGTGCATAATTATTTTTCTTATGCAGATGGTTAGAAGAGTCTTTGAGGATTCAGTTTTTTCAAATCACTTGGTATTTATTTTTTGGGAAAATGGATGCTTATCTGTTTGACTTGCATGTAATGCATGAGAGGCACAAACTGGGGCTAGTTTGGGAGTTGAAGCTTGTAACTTATCTTTTTTCTTCCAATGATTGTGTTAAAAGCAAAGCTAAGCTATCCCTTTGTACTTAAGATAGCAAACAAGTGAATTTCCCAAAAATGTTGGGGAATTATTACCAAAAGCTTGAAAAGGATGGATCCTTGGCCTTCTGGATCAAACTGATATGAATCTTTACTTTTCTTGTGATTGATATGATTATAAAGATCATTGGTGCCTGAAGCCAGTCATCTTACTGAAACACTCCACACCAGAGAGGAAGAGTGTGGTGGGACTGCAGGCCCAGCAGAGAGCAGTGTACTGCTATTCTTTTTGTCATTCCAGTCAGTTTTTCATCTTTATGCAGAACACACACAATGCACATCTTTGGGACCCAAACTGACATTTCTTTTCTATTGTACAAGGTAATTAAATGTATTCTCCTACCAGCAGCTTGAATGAAAACCACGAGTACTCAAGCTCCTGAGAACCAGAGCTGGGAAACACTAGTAGGAACTGCATTAATACAGAATCCATTGGATCTCATTCCTGAAGGTGGTGATAAGTTCAGAGGTGTGAAATGATCTACCAAATGTGTACAGAGGGAGCAAAATGCAGCAATATCTGGTGAGGAGGATCGTGCAAGAATTTCTTATGAAGCTACTTTCTCCGCTGAGTCCCACAGGAACTGCATTATTTCAAAATCAACTTAAAGCACTGACTCCCATTTATCAAGGCAATCCACAATTGGCCCACAGGGTAAGCGGCAGTCAACCATAAATCTAGAAATGTCAGATAAAGCAGCATATACAGCACTTCTTTTACCAATTATGTCTTAGTAAGCTTTGATACATGTAGCAGTAATAGTCAAAGCAAAGAAGGGAATCATGAAGCAGCCCGAATATCCCACTGATCTCAAGAACCTCTGCAGCTACTTTCAGCAGGGCCTTAAAAATTACTGATCTGGTTGGAAGGAATCTCTCCATCCCAAGCTGAATGCAGCTTAGTCATGACTGGTGTGGCTTCCTTTTTGTATGCTGAGCAGTCTGTAAGGACCGTCTTGCATTAATTATCCCAAATCCTGGTGTAGATTTTGGGCCTATATCAAGAATCAGGCTGAAATAAGAGGATCACGACATGGTACCGCTCTGCAGCCACAGCAGCAAGCTCAGAGAATGGAGCGTAACGGCTGTGTTTCTCCACTGAGACTTCGATCCGTAATCATTGTGTGTTGTGACATGTGACTGTTGCAACGATTAAAGGATGGAGGACCAGCAGGGAAAGACGTCAACATATGCATACTGATACAGAGTCAAATCTAAAAAAATTAAGACATGACTACACTGTTGCTGTTGCTGACGACCATCCAGGTTGCTCAAACACATCGGCTGGAGGAGCTAGAGGGGTATTTGCTTGTAAAGAGCGCCATCTGCAGGTTGCAGAAAGGAAACATTTAAAATCTGATAATCGGGTGGAGCCAGAGACAGCTGGGCGGAACCTTCATAGGCAGTGTGTGTCCTTTCCCAAATAAACCATCTGTCAGAAGTTTGAGGCTGTTGAAAGCGTTTCGTGCGACTATTGTCAGGAGTTGAAAGAGTCAGAAGCTTGTTATGGCGTCTTATTAAGCAGGTAAGATGTTTAGTGTTAGTGTTTAATAGTTAAAAAGTTTTTTATTAGGATGCAGCTTTTTGTAGGCGGGGGCCAACAGTGTGGTTACTTACAAACAGTAGATAATGAAACAGCAGTGCACATGGTCTGAAAGGAGGAATGGCTGATGCAATACATTATTTACAACATCTGAGATTAGTACTTTAGCAGACCTTGAAGT